AATTGATAAACTTGATGTAGATGTATACGTGAAAATAGATATGCTTGACGATGATGATATGCTTTCTTTCTTTCTCGGTGCAGATGTCCATGACTTGACAAACGAACTTGATTACGATACTTGGCAAAGCATCATACTGTCTTTCTGCCACTTCATATGGAATTTAAAGAAATACCTTATGTATATCTACTAGATACCTTACTGCTCTCAAAATGTACATTGTAAATTGTTTATTCATAGCAGTGTATAACATGATTTCTTTGTATATAGTCAAGTAATTTCATTGATGTATTGTAAATAATGTACTTGACCATGTAAAATCTTCGGATTCAACTCTGGAGGAAATAAAGAAATTCATTCATTCATTATAGGCACGACAATTAGCAAGTCTAGATTTGACAACAGTACTGTAGTTTTATATCCCACATTACATGTATGCACGACAATTAGCAAGTCTAGATTTGACAACAGTACTGTAGTTTTATATCCAACATTACATATAGGCACGACAATTAGCAAGTCTAGATTTGACAACAGTACTGTAGTTTTATATCCCACATTACATATAGGCACGACAATAAGCAAGTCTAGATTTGACAACAGTACTGTAGTTTTATATCCCACATTACATGCATGCACGACAATTAGCAAGTCTAGATTTGACAACAGTACTGTAGTTTTATATCCCACATTACATGTATGCACGACAATTAGCAAGTCTAGATTTGACAACAGTACTGTAGTTTTATATCCCACATTACATATAGGCACGACAATTAGCAAGTCTAGATTTGACAACAGTACTGTAGTTTTATATCCCACATTACATATAGGCACGACAATTAGCAAGTCTAGATTTGACAACAGTACTGTAGTTTTATATCCCACATTACATATAGGCACGACAATTAGCAAGTCTAGATTTGACAACAGTACTGTAGTTTTATATCCCACATTACATATAGGCACGACAATTAGCAAGTCTAGATTTGACAACAGTACTGTAGTTTTATATCCCACATTACATATAGGCACGACAATTAGCAAGTCTAGATTTGACAACAGTACTGTAGTTTTATATCCCACATTACATATAGGCACGACAATTAGCAAGTCTAGATTTGACAACAGTACTGTAGTTTTATATCCCACATTACATGTATGCACGACAATTAGCAAGAGAAGAGAAGAGAACACATGGATGTCAACTTCTTTATGTTGCGGAACATAACGTTTCGGAGTATATGCTTACTCCTTCATCAGGTGAATGAACGCCATGAGGCAGAGAGCATAATATACATGGACATGGGAAATATGGACATAGCAAAGGGCAAATTGAAGCCAGCTAGGTGATTAGCCCCGGCAAAGATCAATTGAGTCCCAAGCACTAGGAAGATAGGTTCCCTGGTCACGGTTCATGACTTCAATTTGCCCTTTGCTATGTACTTTCTGTAGAGGGGAATGTCCGAGTAACTCTCCATTCCTTCAAAATAATGGAGCAGAGGCCCCGCAGGGGCCGAGGCCAATTATTTTGAAGGAATGGAGAGTTACGAGGATATTCCCCTACTTAAAACTCATCCCTACTTTTACACTTCAAGATAATGTACAGTTGACAAGCAACTCTCCATTCCTGAAAAATAATGGAGCGTTCAAACAATAATGACGTCACAGATGTGTTTTAAATCACCTTCCGTGCTAACCACCTATCAGTGCTACCACACCCGGCCTCCCGTATACCCAGTGCCCGTATTTATCTCTATTACTTATCTATTGACTTAAGCACTGGCTTCCATACCAGCAGCGCTAATTACTGTAAAGTGTTGGCTTCCATACCAGCAGCGCTAATTACTGTGAAGTGTTGGCTTCCATACCAGCAGCGCTAATTACTGTGAAGTGTTGGCTTCCATACCAGCAGCGCTGATTACTGTAAAGTGTTGGCTTCCATACCAGCAGCGCTAATTACTGTGAAGTGTTGGCTTCCATACCAGCAGCGCTAATTACTGTGAAGTGTTGGCTTCCATACCAGCAGCGCTGATTACTGTAAAGTGTTTGCTTCCATACCAGCAGCGCTAATTACTGTGAAGTGTTGGCTTCTATACCAGCAGCGCTAATTACTGTAAAGTGTTGGCTTCCATACCAGCAGCGCTAATTACTGTGAAGTGTTGGCTTCCATACCAGCAGCGCTAATTACTGTGAAGTGTTGGCTTCCATACCAGCAGCGCTAATTACTGTGAAGTGTTGGCTTCCATACCAGCAGCGCTGATTACTGTAAAGTGTTGGCTTCCATACCAGCAGCGCCAATTACTGTGAAGTGTTGGCTTCCATACCAGCAGCGCTAATTACTGTGAAGTGTTGGCTTCCATACCAGCAGAGCTAATTACTGTGAAGTGTTGGCTTCCATACCAGCAGCGCTGATTACTGTGAAGTGTTGGCTTCCAAACCAGCAGCGCTGATTACTGTAAAGTGTTGGCTTCCATACCAGCAGCGCTAATTACTGTCAAGTGTTGGCTTCCATACCAGCAGCGCTGATTACTGTGAAGTGTTGGCTTCCATACCAGCAGCGCTAATTACTGTGAAGTGTTGGCTTCCATACCAGCAGCGCTAATTACTGTGAAGTGTTGGCTTCCATACCAGCAGCGCTGATTACTGTAAAGTGTTGGCTTCCATACCATCAGTGCTAATTACTGTGAAGTGTTGGCTTCCATACCATCAGCGCTAATTACTGTGAAGTGTTGGCTTCCATACCATCAGCGCTAATTACTGTGAAGTGTTGGCTTCCATACCATCAGCGCTAATTACTGTGAAGTGTTGGCTTCCATACAAGCAGCGCTTATTACTGTGAAGTGTTGGCTTCCATACCAGCAGCGCTGATTAGTGTGAAGTGTTGGCTTCCATACCAGCAGCGCTAATTACTGTGAAGTGTTGGCTTCCATACCAGCAGCGCTAATTACTGTGAAGTGTTGGCTTCCATACAAGCAGCGCTAATTACTGTGAAGTGTTGGCTTCCATACCAGCAGCGCTGATTACTGTGATGTGTTGGCTTCCATACCAGCAGCGCTAATTACTGTGAAGTGTTGGCTTCCATACCAGCAGCACTAATTACTTTAAAGTGTTGGCTTCCATACCATCAGCGCTAATTACTGTGAAGTGTTGGCTTCCATACCAGCAGCGCTAATTACTGTAAAGTGTTGGCTTCCATACCATCAGCGCTAATTACTGTAAAGTGTTGGCTTCCATACCAGCAGCGCTAATTACTGTGAAGTGTTGGCTTCCATGCCATCAGCGCTAATTACTGTAAAGTGTTGGCTTCCATACCAGCAGCGCTGATTACTGTGAAGTGTTGGCTTCTATACCAGCAGCGCTGATTACTGTGAAGTGTTGGCTTCCATACCAGCAGCGCTGCTTACTGTAAAGTGTTGGCTTCCATACCATCAGCGCTAATTACTGTGAAGTGTTGGCTTCCATACCATCAGCGCTAATTACTGTGAAGTGTTGGCTTCCATACCATCAGCGCTAATTACTGTGAAGTGTTGGCTTCCATACCATCAGCGCTAATTACTGTGAAGTGTTGGCTTCCATACAAGCAGCGCTAATTACTGTGAAGTGTTGGCTTCCATACCAGCAGCTCTGATTAGTGTGAAGTGTTGGCTTCCATACCAGCAGCGCTAATTACTGTGAAGTGTTGGCTTCCATACCAGCAGCGCTGATTAGTGTGAAGTGTTGGCTTCCATACCAGCAGCGCTAATTACTGTGAAGTGTTGGCTTCCATACCAGCAGCGCTAATTACTTTAAAGTGTTGGCTTCCATACCATCAGCGCTAATTACTGTGAAGTGTTGGCTTCCATACCAGCAGCGCTAATTACTTTAAAGTGTTGGCTTCCATACCATCAGCGCTAATTACTGTGAAGTGTTGGCTTCCATACCAGCAGCGCTAATTACTGTGAAGTGTTGGCTTCCATACCATCAGCGCTAATTACTGTAAAGTGTTGGCTTCCATACCAGCAGCGCTGATTACTGTGAAGTGTTGGCTTCCATACCAGCAGCGCTAATTACTGTGAAGTGTTGGCTTCCATACCAGCAGCGCCAATTACTGTAAAGTGTTGGCTTCCGTACCATCAGCGCTGATTACTGTAAAGTGTTGGCTTCCATACCAGCAGCGCTGATTACTGTAAAGTGTTGGCTTCCATACCAGCAGCGCTAATTACTGTAAAGTGTTGGCTTCCATACCAGCAGCGCTAATTACTGTGAAGTGTTGGCTTCCGTACCATCAGCGCTAATTACTGTGAAGTGTTGGCTTCCATACCATCAGCGCTGATTACTGTGAAGTGTTGGCTTCCATACCAGCAGCGCTGATTACTGTGAAGTGTTGGCTTCCATACCAGCAGCGCTAATTACTGTGAAGTGTTGTCTTCCATACCAGCAGCGTTAATTACTGTGAAGTGTTGGCTTCCATACCATCAGCGCTAATTACTGTGAAGTGTTGGCTTCCATACCATCAGCGCTAATTACTGTGAAGTGTTGGCTTCCATACCATCAGCGCTGATTACTGTGAAGTGTTGGCTTCCATTGTCAATTGCCAATGATCTATCAGCGCCAATCATCTGTTGCCTTCCATTGTTAGTTTCTACCCTTTGTTATTTTCCACCTGTTGTTATCTTATTAATTGTGTTGTCCTTACATGTATATATATTATGCTCTCTGGCTCATGGCATTCATTCACCTGATGAAGGAGTAAGCATATACTCCGAAACGTGTTCCGCATCATAACGAAGTTGACATCCATACATTCTCTTCCACAAGGTGCAAGTCAAGATAGGGAATTCCACCAGGCATCATATTGGTCACTGATGCGTCAAATTTGGAAATGTCCCACACATGTCAACCAAAAACATATTTTAAAAGCTTACTGAGACCTTGAAATTTATAACCTTGATTGAAAAACTTTTGAATAAGAGTAACATGACGCTCTTTGAAATCTGAAGGCACAAATGAAAGCGCAATTGGTGATATATATATGTATTTATTGCAAAATACATCCATGTCAAGAACTGTGAAGATACATGTACGTTGTCATCGACATATTACGATTTAAAATGCATAATGAAATCCAGTAACAGCTACCTTCATGTACATGTATATTCCTAACACGTCAGCTGTTGAGACAATATTGTGACCATCGGATGAGACAACAGAATACAATTAACTTAAGTATATGAGTATGTCCTTTTAACTATGTACAGTGAACCCTCGCTTGGCCTTCAATGGTTCAGAATCAGGATGTGAGTCACAAAAAAACGGGATCATGATAGAAAGGCTCTTAACATGTGTATCCTGTTCTTCTCCAGTAGTAACTGACATGTGTGTGACCCTAACAACCGTCATATGAGTAGCAGAACGGGTAGTCATCAATATACTCACACATAAACTTAAGAATTATCATAACGCAAATGGGAGTCTCACAAAACCAGACGCCATGTTGCTGTTTAGGTATGTTCAATGATCATTGAAAACATCGTGATTAAACTTGATATGTTCAATGATAATTGAAAACATATCGTGATTAAACTTGATATGTTCAATGATCATTGAAAACATCGTGATTAAACTTGATATGTTCAATGATAATTGAAAACATATCGTGATTAAACTTGATATGATCAATGATAATTGAAAACATATCTTGATTAAACTTGATATGTTCAATGATAATTGAAAACATATCGTGATTAAACTTGATAAGTTCAAAGATAATTGAAAACACATCGTGATTAAACCTGATACGTTCAATGAACATATCGTGATGATACAAGTTATCAAGGGAGCCGAAATACCTCCTACAGAACAATATGTACAAAAAAGTAATATTACATTTCGTTGAAGACATTCACCAATGATTCTTATACCTTCATAAGTGAGTGAGTGAGTACGGTTTTTACGCCGCTTTTAGCAATATTCCTGCAATATCACAGCGGGGTATATACCTAGTTAAACTTAAATAACAACGATGACATTCGTGTGATTCTAAAAAGTGGCTTATTCGTCGTAACAGTTATCATTATAAGAATAATACTATCTTACTATGATAATTAACAAAGACAAGAGCTTAATACTGAGTCAGTTTTGCCATTTCATTAGTAAACGCTAGCTGCATTTCACTGAAACAGAATGTACATGGATTTCATTTTCTTTACATAAAGCATTCTCACCTTGCATAATGTGCCCCAAACCCAAACGGGATAGATGAGTTATAAGTGTCAATGTATCAAACCTCAGTCTTATGTTGTTAATTTTAATTTTATCGTACCGAAAATTGCAAAAAACTGAATAAATCCCAGAAAAGTGATCAGTCTATTATTTGTGCTGCTGAGGCACTTTGATAACTACGACAGCTCAGCTCACATAAGGTGAACTTTGGTCACATCATGCCAATCTTTGGAACAACAACTCAAGTATTAGGGGATCATAATGGCAGTGCATGGTTGATATGTACCGAGTTGACATGGTCTTTAGTGATTTCCTGTGAAAAACTAGAAAGACAATGTTGCGTTGTCAAATTGTCGACCTTAAACATCGTTGAAATAATGTTATATAATGTGAAACAATGTAGTTTTTTCTTTTGTCCTTTTGGCCCTTCCATAGAAACCTCTAGGATACAGCATAAGGTGTTACTGTGTCCTTCTGGCGCTTCCATAGAAACCTCTAGGATACAGCATAAGGTGTTACTGTGTCCTTCTGGCGCTTCCATAGACACCTCTAGGATACAGCATAAAGTGTTACTGTGTCCTTCTGGCGCTTCCATAGAAACCTCTAGGATACAGCATAAAGTGTTACTGTGTCCTTCTGGCGCTTCCATAGAAACCTCTAGGATACAGCATAAGGTGTTACTGTGTCCTTCTGGCGCTTCCATAGAAACCTCTAGGATACAGCATAAGGTGTTACTGTGTCCTTCTGGCGCTTCCATAGAAACCACTAGGATACAGCATAAGGTGTTACTGTGTCCTTCTGGCGCTTCCATAGACACCTCTAGGATACAGCATAAGGTGTTACTGTGTCCTTCTGGCGCTTCCATAGACACCTCTAGGATACAGCATAAAGTGTTACTGTGTCCTTCTGGCGCTTCCATAGAAACCTCTAGGATACAGCATAAAGTGTTACTGTGTCCTTCTGGCGCTTCCATAGAAACCTCTAGGATACAGCATAAGGTGTTATTTTATGCTTCTGGCGCTTCCAAATGGACCTCTATGATTCATCATACAGAGATTTTTTATCGTGGCCCTTCTATATGGACCTCTATGATACATCATACAGATTGTTTTGTCGTGGCCCTTCCATATGACCTCTATGATGTAGCATACAGAGGTTGTTTGTCGTGGCCCTTCCATATCGACCTCTATGATGCAGCATACAGAGGTTGTTTGTCGTGGCCCTTCCATATCGACCTCTATGATGTAGCATACAGAGGTTGTTTGTCGTGGCCCTTCCATATCGACCTCTATGATGCAGCATACAGAGGTTGTTTGTCGTGGCCCTTCCATATCGACCTCTATGATGCAGCATACATAGGTTTTTGTTGTGGCTCTTCCATATGACCTCTATGATACAGCATACAGAGGTTTTTTGTCGCGGCTCTTCCATATGACCTCTATGATGCAGCATACAGAGTTTTTTGTCGTGGCTCTTCCATATGGACTTCTTTGATGCAGCATACAGAGTTTTTTTTGTCGTGGCCCTTCCATATGGACCTCTATAATGTATCATACAGAGTTTTTTGTCGTGGCTCTTCCATATGGACCTCTATGATACAGCATACAGAGTTTTTTTGTCGTGGCCCTTCCATATGGACCTCTATGATGTAGCATACAGATCTTCGCGATGCAATAAAATACAGACGTATGCATTTAAGTATTTTCCATCAGTTGCGCACATCATTCCCGATAGAGCAACGTTTAGTCCTATAGACATTTCATGCATGTACTCTGATACACTATCATGGAAATAACGTTTGGTATTTCTTGTGTCATTCAGAACACCACAATCAACTCTTTGACAATACTTGCAAGTAAGCACACGTCGATAAATGGTCATTTAAAAACAAATTAAGCCGATTTTAGAATAGCGAAGTAATGAGATATTTCCTAATGTGACTACCAAATACCCATTGTACTGACTTCTAAATGTGTTGAAACAGATATACGTACAAGCATATTGTATTCAAAAAGCACTAAATGTGAACACAATTTTCAGTATCATTCCAACAACTTCAGTAAAACAAGCCCAGATTATCCCCGATGCCAGGGCGCAGTGCCATGGGTTGCCAAGTCTACAATGTGTCTCCGCCTTGTTTTGATAATACTCCGTCAAACATTTTATTGGGGAGGGGAGCAAAACGCGAAGCCAAACATGATTTGATGCAAGCACGTGTCCGCTGCCCAATCGGAATTACCCAAACAAATGACGGGACCTGTAAATTCAATCATCTATTGACTTAGTATGTATTAAGAATAACTGACAGGATAATAGATGTGGAAACACGCGTGAAATATAGAATCCAGTTTAATGTAATTTCATTTAAGAGGTTATAAAAGTAAATTCCGTTAAATAGGGCGTGTATTACCGAACAGGGCGGAGACAGGCAAGCCTCCAACCTCTATGAAGGGCAGCATGGTGGATAGTGATATGGTTAAAACCTTAAACACCGTGCATACATGTAGGCGAGAGTATCATATGGAATTTAAGACATAAAAATCACACAAAAATCAATAATACTATCACATTTAAAAATGATCTCCCTGTGTGTCTCTTAGCTGCAGGAATGTCCAATTAAGATTTCTTGTAAAACCGTTCCATTTATATGTATAGAAAGTACAACATAACTTGACAACTGACTTAATCGCATTACACGACTACAACCCATTGTAGTATATATTTACACTGACATGCAAATGCCTCGAATAAGTGGCGTCAAATTATATTAGACACTGTGACTGACAATCATATAATACAAACAATATAAACATCCCATGCAATCCATCCACGAACTGGTAGAAGTGAATGATATCCAGATTCAAGATTTCTACTTTGCCCTCCGTATCTTGAAGACAAAGAGTCCACTTAGCAGGAAGTAAACAGAAGTCATTACGAATACAAGGATATAACCAAGCCCGATCTCACAGTCGACCCTCTCAAATATGTCCAGCACAACTCCCCCCACGGGAGTGGCCAGGACCTGGGGGAGAATGAGTGCCAGGTGCCATACAGCAATGTCCTTGGCCTTGTCCTTCTCTTCCGGCAGAACGTCCATCACAAGTGCGAAGTCCACGGACTGGAACGCTCCGAATCCGGTACCTACAAACATATTGGAAATACAGAACATTTAACAAACGCACATTAATTCCCGTTTCTACGGTAATCGAATCATTTTTATTTTTTTATCATTTTTTTTTTTTTCCAATCATTTTACATTTATTTGATAAAATGTGACATTCCAGTACGTAGCTAAGTAATCAGCTAAATAGATGATGGCATGTTGACCAAAATTTATAGAATAGGGCAATGTCACACTCAATAATCGCTGCACATTTAGTAAGGTTGTAGTAGTTTCTTATTTCGTTCTGAAAGACTTGAAATGACGGGAGTCTTTTGTTTAACTTACTTTTAAATATAAGGTCTTTTATTATCAAAAAGATGATATTTAGAGGGTCATTGCGTTTTTCTGGAAAGCCAATCATCACATGTTTCTTTGTAATTTCGATTTGGATGTTAGCCTTTTGAAGTAGCCAAGCTTCAAGTTTACGCCAGATTTGCTGAACCATATTACAGGACCAAAAAAGATGGATTGGGGTCTCGATATCAACTGAACAAAAACTGCAATTTCGACTTTCAACATAACCTAATTTACACAAGAAAACATCAGTCGGAAGTATATGATGGAGTATTTTGTATTGGAGCCATTGCAGTTTAGTGTCTCTCGAATCGAATCATGTTTGTATATCCGCCTGAACAAAACTTAAGCCCAAAACCAATACATGACTATCGGCACAGTTTCATGGATACCTAAGATACAACAGAACCTGCTAAAACGTTGCTATAAGAACATTGTATGTGTTTTCGCAAATAACGTCATCTCATATTATGTATAGGAAGCAGAGAAGGCAGCTGAAAGGGTCGTCAAATAGCAAATATATAATCGACATCGAAGTGGTGCTTTTTGCGAACACCTAGTGTCAGCACTGATGTTCTGTGGTCCATTCATATAATATCCACAGCTATTTGCCCTTTAAGCCAAGTGGAATCTGTTTCGGCAGAAAATCTATGTTGGTGTATCTCTTGCATTGACAATTTTTATTCATATCAACTTTTTCCAGACATAGTTTATGTGAAGACGCTCTGGAATGATACCATTATGATAAAGTCTCCATGAACTATATTGTCACCACAGAAAATATCTATGTCATCTGCATATACACGAGTGGAATTATATGTCAGTGTCATGCAGTAGTTGGTGCATGTTTAAAGGATAGTGCAAAGCGATCAGTGCATGTATATCTGAGACAAAGGGATAAAAATAATTTTATCAATTTCTGTTTATTTGGTGTGTCACGCCAATTTTGCATCACCTTAAGCATTCTATTCTACTTTGAAAAAAGTGATTTTAAAAGAGAAACTATACATAACATGGAATTAACTAACCATATTAGGATATTACTTAAATTTCGAAGTGTATATAATTCAGGCTTTCAGAAACTCTGGAAAGGTTTAAGTACTGTACATAACAAGGATATTCTTTGTATTGAATTAGAAGATGAAGAAATGTAATCTTGCACTGTCCCCAATATAATGATATACGCTCTAATTGTCATGACATAAAATCCATTTGTTTATCAAAAAATACGAAAATAATATTTATGGTTGCAAAATTTGTGCATAATATGTTGAAGATCCCAGGAACTATGTACAATAAGTTATAGGTAGCGTCTATGTGTACATGATATTATAAAGTAAATGTATTTATTGTATGGATCTGTTGTCCCAAAGAACAATAAAAGATATACATTGTCCTATTGTACCACCGAATACAAACGCCATGGCAACAGCTATTGTCCTATTGTACCTACCGAATACAAACGCCATGGCAATAGCTATGTAGAAGGCGTAGTTGCCTCTGAGGAAGGCGTCGGTCAGCGCGCAGCAACCCATCACTATGGCTGAAGAGAAAACACACATACACATACGTGGCGGTACCATCTTTGTAAGGAAGGGTAATGTGTAACCCTACACAATGTAATTCACTGAAAGGCATTTTGAGTGTTTTAAAAATAAATAGGATTACTTTGTGAGAGCAAAACTGTCGCTTTGACGGACGTGTTTCAAATTCAATACGTGCCTGTTTTGGACTTATAGACAAGGCTAAATATGTCCGAAGGGTTGATGTAAGTGGTTTCCGAGAAGTGTTTTTCTTATATTTGGGCATAAACAAGCCTATCCGCAATATGTAGCAACAAATAGTAAAAACATATTTTCAAACATTATCTTGGGCCTCAAACTTGCTTAATGTTAGATCTTCCCTGAAGTTTCGGCCTTCCATTGGCTATCCTGAACCGCCTGATGGCGAAGTGTAGGACAGAAACAAGGCAAATTGTCAATTATTTAAACTTTTCTGAAAATTGTCATATAAATATTTCAAACGTATGTTATATATTCTCCCATTATACCGCGTCCTTTACTGAAACATAGAATTAGGACAAAATTGACATCCTTCGTCAAATATATTGACCATTCGTCACCACTCATATTTTTGTACGGATCATGTTTTAAAATGGGGTGACGAGGTGACGAGGTGGGCTGTAAGACGTACCTGCAGTTGTCACTATACTTTTGCGTCGGTTTGTTCTGTCAGATATTATTCCGAATATAACAGAACTGAAAGGAAAATAAGTCCATTACAGTACATCATCACTCATACCAACCAAGTATTCATTTCATGTTGTTAAGAACAATATTGACCAGAGGTTGTGATGCAAGCTCGCGCTACCATCATACCTGAAAGTAATTATGTTATCAATGTATATAGTAACACGTGACCAACATACGTCACGGTGGATTTCCCTCACAGTTTAGATTGTGTATATAAATCCAGTAGCGCTAAAATGTAAAACCTCGTTTGGGGATTTAGCAGCGCTTGGAGTATCTTTGTATGACTGTCTCGAAGAACTTCTTCCACTTTGAATAGCTCACCTGATAGCAGCAGAGAAGAGCATCGGGAGGAGCATGAGGGATACAGAAGTTGCGGGGGTCCAGCAGTTTGGCAGTGGTATCATGTCTCCTAGCCAGTACTCCAGGAATCTGAGGAAGACAATTTTATATCTGATTCTGTCCATTTTTCCTATTTTCCTATTTAACTCCCCTCAACAATATTTCTGTAAATTTCAGCCTGTAAATATTTGAGTCTGGGCCAGACAATCCAGTTGTTGATATAATGACTACAAAAAAATCACGTTTTGAGGAACCCTTTTCTTATTTCGCGATGGTCAGTATCATAAAGTGACACTGAGTTTAGAAGGGACCCCTCAATATGAAGTATTTCATATAACCTGTCATTGAATGTTCTCACCAAATACACACATTTCCTACATTTTTTACCACACATTATCAGGTAATCTGTACTCAGACTACCCTTGTATTCGTTCAACTCGTGATCAGGTAATCTATACACTGACTACTCCAAGGTTTTGAATAAAACTAATTTCGGCAGTCAGAACCCAGAAGCAACTTCAATGGTTAAATGAGGTGTATTCAATAATTACCATTCTTTCAACACGAACCATAAACGTTCACTCCCCAACCCTGTTCTACAATACAAGATACGTGGCCCCCGTTGTAAGACTCACCCTGTGACGGTAGCCACGTTCATCTCCTCAACCCTGTTCTACAATACAAGATACGTGTCCCCCGCTGTAAGACTCACCCTGTGACGGTAGCCACGTTCATCTCCTCAACCCTGTTCTACAATACAAGATACGTGTCCCCCGTTGTAAGACTCACCCTGTGACGGTAGCCACGTTCATCTCCTCAACCCTGTTCTACAATACAAGATACGTGTCCCCCGCTGTAAGACTCACCCTGTGACGGTAGCCACGCCCTGCTGCATGAGGAACCTGGTGATGAACACCCATCGGAAATCATGCTCTGAAATGATGAACATGAACATTCACATTCTCACCTTCAATCTTTTAATATAATTTCAATAGTAAAATACATATGATAAATTTAACACATTTTCTGAGTGCGCCTATTAACATACAAACCACCAATAAAGGTGAATCGTCTCAGAACAATCTAAAGCAATCTCACCTTTCAGAGGCTCCCAGAATCCACAGAATATAAGCTTGCACCCTGTTAATAGAAAAGCGTAGTTAAACAGCTACGAGGTAATAACAAATTATTATTATACTGTCAATATTGATTTTACGTGCGCTTCAAGTGGATTTATATTTACTCACTTGTCTTGAACCGTATGAATAAATATGGTGTTTAAAATAATGTGTGGTCTTTACCAAGTGGTTGTAGTTCCAGCTCCTCCTTAGACCGGTACTCCTTGGTCGACACGACAGTCACGGTCACACACAACACCAGGATCCCTAGGATCAGGCCGTATATCCCTATCACGCCGATATGCTGCAAGAGTTATTTCCCTTGTAACTTTACACATCGCCACAAGCAATTCCAGCATTGGAACATGTTTGAAACGTTTACATTTCAACTGTGAATATACTGTATTCCAAATGGTGATAATAATTTGGTTTAATAGTCGATGAAATGGGGTCATATTATTAGGTCAAGACGGCCTAGTTTGCTGTAAAAGTGCATTGTTTTACTATGAGGTGTAATGTTATTTCAAGTCGCGGTTAAGATTATTGCACTTATAAAGCGACGTGCATGCACGTGTCCCGCAGTTTAACATGACTAACCCACTCAGCTACAGTATACTGGCTCCGAGTCCATGTTTTATCCCCTTAATGCCAAGCACCAGGCTGGGTAACAACAAGTAATCTATCTTCTAACGTCTTTTGATATGACGTGGCCGGGGATCGAACCACCGCCCTTCAACTCTCAAGGCAGACGCTCTACCACTAGACCACGGAGCCGGTCTCGTCATTATGAAGTGCATGCCTTCAGTATGTATTGTTACAGTTTGACTTCAACTCGTGTGTCTCTGTTTACACTGTATATATGTTTCACCCGTGAAGATCCGGGTTAGAATAGATCTCCAGCAACCCATGCTTGCCGCAAAGGCGACTATGCTTGTCGTAAAAGGCGATTAACGGGATTGGGTGGTCAGGCTTGCTGACTTAGTTGATGCATGTCAGCGTATTCCAATTTGGGGATCGATGCTCATGATGTCAATCACTGGATTGTCAGGTCCAGACCCGATTATTTACAGACCGCCGTCATAAAGCTTTCAATATTGCTGAGTGCGGCGTTAAACAACAAACAAACAACAAACAAGAGAACAAGCAAACAATGTATGTTTACCGTGAAGCTGAGACCGGCCGCTGCACCGCTCACATTCCCCAGCAATATCATCGCGCCCATCACGCCGGAGTTAAAACCTGAACAATATTCACAACAATTTGGAATTTGCATTTATATGTATCCATTTATTCATTATTGATAATTTTGTGAAATACGTATGGGCGTTTCACGACGATCTAATTATGAAGCTATAAAATCATATACATGTGTTGATGCATAAATAAGATCGGATTATTTAAATAGATAGCCATGTACCGGAACCAGTTATTAATGAGTAGCACCGCGGACTGATCAATATTATATTTTAATTTCCAGAACTGGCTTCTACGGGATATAATACTTGGGTGAGATTAAGCGATATCTCATTGGAAATAAAAATACTTCAATGAAATTGTATGACAATGCTTTGCAGACCATGACGTCACAATCAAATGACTAATCTCTCTGTGAAGCTGGTCAAGCTTCTTTTTACAAACACTGATTATTACTGTTTACAAACCGAAAAGGTTGGACGTATGATTTTGGGTGATAAATAGAATCTCACACTTGTGTCTTTTGATATAATATATATCAACACTCATCGAAAAAAGATTAAAAAAACCATCGACAAGCCTCGAAATTGTAAACTTTTATCGACTCGTGTTGATATATTTGACGATTCGAGTATGAGATTCTCTGTTTCCATAGGGAGACTGAGGAACATCAGAACACATGTAATCCTATGAACCGCCTTCTAAAGGAGGCACCCACTGACCTCTCTGTGTAGGGTGAGACTTGTCCGCCACTAGGGCATTGAAGGGGACGGTGACGGCAGCTTGCGCACAGATCACCATCAGGAAGAATGTAATGTACAACCCTGAAATATACATCACCACGTGATCGTCTCCGCTACATCCAGTCTTCTGTTTCATATTCTTTATTTTGTTTTGTTTGTTTGTTGTTTAACGCCGTACTCAGCAATATTCCAGCTATATGACTGCGGTCTGTAAATAATCGGACAATCCAGTGATTGCCATCATGAGCATCGATCCATGCAATTAGGATACGATGACATGCATCAACCAAGTCAGCGAGCCTGACCACCCGATCCCGTTAGTCGCCTCTTACGACAAGCATATATCAGGAAAATTCCCATTTTAGGATAATATTAGAATTTTACGTCTAACAAAGTGTTTTTTCGATAAATACAGATACAGGGGACATCCGGTGAACCCCTCTTTGTAATCAAGCAGTCTCTCCTTTATGGTGTATAAACACTTATATTTATCCTCAGCAAAGTCAGTAAAACAGACTTCTATGTAGTACTTTCCTCGAAACCGCCGTCATATAGCTGGAATATTGCTGAGTGCGGCGTAAAACAACAAACCAAAAAAACTTTAATAAATCTATTAAAATAAAAAAATTAATACCAAATACATGTACAAAGGATCGGGTTGGTCGACATGCTAAGAGCCAGATGGTCTATAATAACAAAAGAATCGAATGAGGCTACCAGGCTTGATCTTTGGCTGAATTACCTTCAAACATTTTGAAAAAATGCTTCATATAGAACGTACAACCTTACTTATGTATCATATCAAACGGGGGTTTAGTCGCATATACTTTCGCAAAATGTACGGTAAATTGGTTCATCATAACAAAAACAGATCAATCGAAGCTGTTTCTTTCCGTTATCTTTTATCCTTGAGTAATCAGTCATGATTTATGTGCAGTAAATTGACCACACGCACCTGGTACCGGTATAAAAATAGTCATGGAGCTTAATGTAACAATCCTGTTTTTATATAACGTAAAGGTTACCTACGTAACGATTAGCGACTAACGTATTAACATATTAACTACATCTTGTATGGGACACAGAAAGTTCCAATGTTGATCGTTATATTTGAGTTATTTAAAATTACTATTTCGTTTACCCAAGTTTCCGGGTTTCTCTGCGACGACGGGTTCCGTGAGCGACTTCTTGTCTGCGATGATCCCGGATTGAGATGGGTTAGTGAAATCCTTGGGAGGTATGGACTGGTTCATGTAGGGGGCGCACCGCTCCTTCACCAAGTCCAGCTGACACTGTGGGAAGTTACAAATATAGTATATCATTAGGTTACAGGTTATGGGGGAATATAAATATTACACTTTAAACAAATCACGTCTGGAAGTTTAGACACTTTCGTTTTAGTTCTTATCTAAATAAAAAGCCACAAAGGCCTTCCCTTAATCATATGAAGTATCTATTTAAATCAGAGACGATTTACGATTCCGACCACAGCATGAGCATGTGTTTATGAATCACTGGCAAATAGTAATGATGCTAAATTAGCGTATCCTGCTCAACCGGTGGCATCTTCACAAATACATGCAAAGGCAAGTCAAATTGTTCACCTGAACAAATACGGGAACATATGGTACAAGTCAGAATAGGTAACTGCATCGGACAAACCTTTGCCACTGATGTGTCAAATTTGGATAATGCCCTCAACATGTCTACAATAATACATTTTGGTAGCTTAACTAAGACACTGAATATTGTACTCTTGATGTAGACGCAAATGTCTGAAGCCCCTGGAATATAGCTCAACATGAAGTTGACTATTGTAAAGTTGAAGTCATCCTTCTTGTGGAGAGTTTTGTATTTTTATTATATATATATAGAAACATTTTGTTCGGCTACCTCGACACTTTCCAACATTCAGCTAATTCAACATAAACCTGTACCTCTTTGATTTCATTTTAGAATAATTTACTTTTGTTAATTTTAATGTGGGAACCACTTTCTTTTAAACAAACTATCCAATTTAAAAAAAATAATTTTTTAATATAGATTAATCACTTAATCTTAGAGCCTCGTATTCTGATTTCCTACACCAACGCAACATTTATGCGTTCATCATAAACTTATAATTACCTTTAATCACAAAATAGTTGATATTGAACACTTGCTGGGTAAAGATAACATGTTCCGTGATGATCTTACATACAGTTATCCAAAGTGAAACCAGTGCATATCGAACATGTCATTAATGGACAATTGTCGTGTTGAGTGGTATTGATGAGAGTGTTGGCTAATAACTGTTCCCCGCATCTGCACAAGAGGATTATATAACATGGGGATGTTACTCCGGACAATGATCACAGATCGCTGTAACATGCAACATCCTCCGGTGGGGTTACAGAGATTATATCCCATAAGTTACACATCCAATTTGTTACACACCTCTATAATCCCAGTTGTTACACAGTTTGGGAGGAGGGCAGGAGGGGATTAATTAAGACAACGCCTACTCAGTAATTGACCAGTCCTAAATGGAGTACCACATAGACCAAGGTAAAGACACCAATGGTACAACAAGAACACCACTCGACAGACTTGTCAACACTGGAGATACATCCGTAAAGCCTGCAAAGCAAAATGTACAATAGTTGGAGACTGTGTACGGAATATTACAGATCACACCCATTCCTGTGAAGACCGTCTCAAGTTTGTGAGCAGCTTGAGGAAGAGGACCAGAGATGAGACAACCCCAGCCCTACCTTCTATTCAGCGACGGGGAAGACAATACAATTCTAGCGTTCTCCACACAACGTCAACTGGGAGCACTTCAGTCAGCCGAGACATTCACCTCCTGTCCGCACTCTGGGATCAAGTCTTTATCCTGCATGCCAGACGTGGAACTGTCAACTACCCTCTTGTGTTTACCCTGTTACCAGATCGCCAGATGATAACATACAAGAGATTTTTCAGTCAGGTAAAGACACTCGTCCAGGAGAAACTCCAGCGAGAAGTTTCTCCTGCCAGAATTCAGACCGACTTCGAACTAGCTACAATTCGCTCTGTTCAGGCTGAATTTCCAGCTACTATAGTCAAAGGCTGCTACTTTCACTTCAGCCAAGCAGTGTGGAGGAAGACACAAGATCTTGGCTTGGCTGTCCCCTACAAAGAAGATCCCCACGTGAAACGATAGATACGGCGAGCTGCGGCACTGCCACACCTCCCTCCAGGACAGTGCAAGACACCTGGTTAGATGCCATGGAGGATACACCTGAAGTGCCCCGTGCTGAAAGCTTCAATGATTATATTGTGATGAACTGGGTTGAATTTGAAGCTAGATTTCCCCTTCGTCTTTGGAACCGTCAACAGACAACAGGACCGCGCACAAACAATGATCTTGAGGGTTTTCATAACAGACTGAATCGAGAACTACCCCACGACCATCCAAATATTTACCGCTTCATTGAAGTTATTCAGAGAATCGAGAGGGCGAAGAACCGTCTAAGGAGATTAAAAAATCAGCTTCACCAGGGACTCAAGACTCCACTCCAGTTCCTGGTTGCTGCAGGCTTCTATGCAGGTTATGACAAATGGGACGTATAACTAATAAGAGGCTACCGTTACAGAGGCTGCATGTATCATCTATATATCTAGATTTAGGTGATGGGGCAGACTAGAAGTTAAAGAGGCCGTTCGTCCGCCACACAGTACAGTGCCAGGTGCTCCTTGCTGGGACATCAAGTTGGTGCAAAATGACATTAACAATGGTTTCATATATCGGAATGTTACAGTTTTTAAATCTCACAAGGTATACTGTTATTGTCAATAGAGATTGCTTTTAGTTTATTTGAAGTGATTTCTCACTGGCAGCAAATGATTGAAACGCTCAAAAAATGTCGAGTAGTGGCAGTAACTGTGATTTAGAGTTACCTCCCTTGGTTGTTGACAAAAAAGACGGACTTGATCGTTCGAGAAGTTTCGGCATATGACAGCTTTTGGCTGGCAGTACCTGTATCAGAGCGATACGGGGGCGAGGCCTTTAACGACCTGAGCTGTGTCTACTTGTCAAGTGCGGATGCGATACCTATCTGAAAACATCGAATGTCTGCCAGCTCCCAACGCTATTCCGGATTCAAGAACAGAGCACAGCGGCTTTCAAGACATTCGACAAATGCTTGACATTCGTGAGTGTACTGGCATATATTATAGGCCTGTTACTTATTGCTGCTGTCATTTATTTGACCCATTGTATTTCGGTTGTCTGTTATAATTGTAAACGTAAAACTGTGTTTTTCAGTATAATTTAATCATTTTACATTGATCTTACGTGGTCATTTATTGATTTCATAATTTAGTTCTGTCTGAACCGATTTCAGGGTTAATCGTTGCGTTTCAATTTGAAAATCACATCGTAACAGTACAGTTCTGTTCTACGTTATTTTGCTCCTAATTTATGTATATGTGTGAATGTACCCCGTGGTAGGTAAGCAACATTATAGTAAGATGGTTACTTGATGTTTTGTGACATTGTTTGCTGTGGGATGTACAAGCTCAGGTTTATACTCATGGCGGAGTGTATGGCAGGCTTTACTAACAAGACATAATAATAGCCTTCCAATAAAACCAGCATGGCACATTTTAACAAAGTCTCTGATGTTTTGGAATAATCATATGTTAATTAATGACAGTGTCACAGTCGTCTCAAGACACAAGTGATCACTTCAAGGGAAAAACCAAAACCCGTTTATCTGATGCACAAGAGGCCAGCAAAATCCTGCGTGAGTGAGTGAGTGAGTGAGTTTGGTTTCCATCAATATCAGCCCAGACACCAGATGGGTTGCACACATAGTTAGAGCATCGAATCCGGGCCCACTGCGTGACAAGCGAACGCTTTACCCACTGGCCTACTCTACCGCCTCACATGACAGCTGTACTACATTATATTATTACGCAAAGTATGCGCAAGAGAACTTAATGCCTCATGTATGACGACTGAGTCGATATAACGACTAAATACTCATTAAAATGAAACGTAAGCTTTATACTCATTGCCTAGTTTATTTCACAGTTTTAGCACTTCAAACCACAACAGATGTCAGCCTTCATTTTGATAAAAATAATGTATAATAATATTCTTTCACATATGATCGCCATGGATATAACGATGTGGAATAGGGGCATGGGGGGCAATTGTTTTGGACACAGTCGTCTGAATGTGGATCAGGTGTCATGTGCGATCTATCTGCTTGTGTGACATTGTTCCCTGACGGAGTGATCGCGCTCTCAACCGCTAGTTTATACAGGTGATAATGAAGCCAGACACCCAAGTGCACGTGTTGCACGTCCCCGTAGTGGATGTGAGGAGGTGTATCGTCTCGTGTGTTGTCATGGAAACTGATCTGGTCACATCAGATATGGGTGTGATGCAAATGGTTCATCTGGCACCTGATGCCATGGACACTAATGCCAGACGTTAAATGTTGTATATTTACCATGCGACTCGTGTTTCCCAGCAATCCCTTCGTATCCCTATGGGGCCTGCAAAATAAGCATATTCAGTATAATCATTCAATGTCTTTATGAAACAAAACCTCCACCTTTGTCTCATTAAGTATGAATCTTCTAAACGGTATATAATGTTGGAAAGTCATCGTCTAAAAGCACATTTAATCAGTATTAAGTATAAACGCCGCTGCTACATATGGAATACAGTAAAGGACACCCTCGCGTTCTAGTATTCTAGATCTCGCGATCTCGACCTTTGGAAACAAGCTAAATATGCAAAAGGTGCGAGACTGTCCCTTACAGTATTCCATAGCTACAAAGATTCCGTACGAGACATGCCTTCTGTAGATATCCAGTGTTAGAAATTAGTTTAGGCATGTGAGAGGAGAGTTTCCACCCTCGCATATAATGTATGGCTCAATACTTACACATTAACCTGTGGGGCGCTAAACGCCATGCCAATCAGACCAAAACTGAAATCAAGGAAACACACGTATGTAGTGGCATTTTACCAGGGGTAGAGTCTCAATATATATAGCAGTGACACAGAGTGAACCCCCGTTAATAAGGACATCACCTGTAAAGGGAAACATTCAGGATTAACATATCAATGGTATGGTGACACGTTCTTTGTGTCCCAGTGTCCGGACTAACGAGGTTGCACTGTATATGACAACATGTGTCATCAGGGAAGTATACGATAGCACAGTGGTTCTCAAAAGATTAAATTTCACCTGAATATGGTAATTATCTGACCGCAGATATTTCCTAGTCACGACTTACGTCAAATGTATTGATCAAACTTAAGCCCTGAATATTCAACGGGGTTAAAATCCCTGCAAGGATGTGTGTTCACGTACACAGCTGATAATGCAATCTAGATGCAGAATACCCGACCACGGGGCTCTACCCGGAAGTCAGTGTACATGTGTAGCCTGTTGTGCATTTCCGTGTGAGACCTGGATGAAATAACTTTTCCTATCGTCATAGGTTCTAAAGGTCAATGCTAGAGAATAATTAGTCTCGAATATCTACCGAAACAAATTCCAGGGAGCGAAAAAGGCAATACAGCACAAATTATCCCTTTTAAGGTATATCTATACATATCACAGTGTTACGGTCTGTTTACTGTTGATTACTTAAGCGTTCGTTACTTTGATTACTCGTTGACACACTAAATAAATAAAAAGTATAATGTTTCTCTCGCTAGTGCTTTTTATATTTTCCAGCAATCAAACAGATTCAAAACAGGACACGATGACAATTCTTTTATTTCGACCAAATTAATCTGCTTCCGTGAGAGCATACGCAGCAAGAATATTTTATCATTGAGTAATTAGGTAATGGTGTCTCATAAAGATAAAAATGCATGGGTTGAGAACACGGTTCAACGTTTATATTTCTTTGACATTTTCTAAGTCCTCTATCACACACAAGAAACAAAGCTGTATATTCCATTTTCACTCGTCTTTCTCTTTTTATCTACTTATTCCGTGACAGGTTCACAGCAAACTCAAGCCACGTTCATTTCACAATACACACTTTGTGTTCACGTAAATAGTCCCGCTGTTTCAGTTTTCACTTTATCAGTTATGATTCTTTATCAAACTTTATCAAACACTGCTCTTAACGACTCCTCTCCCTAATGATAGTCACCAATCAGTCTAACATAGAGTTCCCGTGTTTGTACAGGTGAACAATCGACTTACGTTTGACAAGGTAGACACAATATTTTTTATGGATAACAACTTCTTTAATACCGTAAAAAGCTATTTACAGTATAAAATAAGTTGTTATCCATATAATCTTTTGTGTGTCTACCTTGTCATCCGCCAACTTCTAAGTAATGCCTATGAAACGACTTACGTTTGCATGTGTTTGTGACGGGTGATCCATGAACACATACATATGCTTTAGTCCGAATCGTACAATAGACTTGTGATTATAGAAAAGGTTTTGTCGCTTTATTCCAAGTGTAAAAGTACACTGAATTTCCCCTGCACTAAACTCAATATATCCACAGTTACCTTAAAAACCAGTGATCCATGAAATAGATAGTGAGTGAGTGAGTGAGTGAGTTGGGTTTAACGCCGCTTTTAACAGTATTCCAGTTATATCGCGGCGTGTCAGCTTAATGTGGGAGGAAAGCCCGAAGTGATGCAGGTCTCAGACGTTTACCACTTCGGTGAAACCCACGAGCACGGGTATGGTGCTGACAAACCTAGAAACATAATCGGGGCGAACCGGGATTCGAACCCACAATCATATGTTTCTGGCGTGCCCAGGGGACGCAACTTTGCACAGCGAATCGCGGCGCCTTAGCCGACTGGGCCACCCGTGGCCCCCTTGATATAGATAAACTTGTAAACGATAATTAGGTTCAGAATATAAAATATAAGCAAAATCCGAAAAAAAAACGGTAGCCATTTCGTCAGGTAATCTCACTGTAACCAAGGGTCGCGTATCAACCAACATGGCCTTCACAAGGTAACCAGGTAGCACGTTACAGTCCAATCAGGGATTTGTTCATCTTTATCTGTCCCCGGGGAATTGCCGATAATCAATTTTTATCCCAGTTACCGTAAATGTTTAATTTCCGGAACTGGATTCAGCAGTTAGCCTTGTCGTACGCCTACACGTATCGACCCATGGCATGAAGGCAGTGTTTGTTTCCTGATGTGTAGGTTAATTACCATAATACACTGGAACTGTGGGTTTTCCAGACTACATGATAGAGATCCCAGGGTTGTACTTTTAAGACCCAGATTATGTCATATTGACATAGCGGATGGCTTATGTTGTTGTATTGATCTGATGTTACGTCCAAGCATCTGGATTCGTTGTCTGGTTTGTTTACCTGTCTCCGCCGGATGCTGTACCGCTTAGCAGCATCAGGCAACAAACATACTTTATTTACAGATTGTGTGAGTGAAGGATGCTGCCGGTAGAGAAGTGCTTGCTTCCACTTTTCGCGAACACCTGATGCCATCAGTGATCCATTCATATAATTTCCAACGTTCTTTTGCCTTTGACACCCGATGAACCCCGTTTCGGCGGATAATCGAGACTGGTTTATCTTTGGCAAAGACGTTTTTCATTTTCTTGGAATATGCTTTTTGGAGACCAATGTAGTATGTAATTGTCTTACTATGGATATATGTGTATTCCCTCAGTCACAGAATCGCTTAATGAATCGAACCTGCACCACTGAATAGGCAAACTCGCTACACTACCCATTCGCCCACCATGACCCACTTAAAGTGTTTCCGCTGATAATACTCTGCTATCCACCATTCTCAAACAAATTGTTTCTGGAGTTAAAGACAATTGTTTTGTTTCTGTCAACACCAGTTCTGCGCCGAAGAAATTATGTCACTAAATATCGTGTATATTTGCGTTACATATAATATGGTTCAAATTAGGGAATGTATATTGACACAAAACCCTTTAGTACTGTCTTTTTTTTTTGCTTAACGCCGCGCTGAGCAATATGCCAGCTATATGGCGACGACATGTAAATAATCGAGTCTGGACCAGACAAACCAGTGATTAATAGTGAGTCGCACTCCTTTGGGAAACGACCACACGCTACCAACCAGGTCACTCTAAATAGGAATACCAACAGGGAACTATATTATGATAATGATGATGTGTGCTGACCCTACCAGAGGATGATGGTTCCGATGATCATGACAGGGCGCCTCTTCCCCAACTTGTACGTCAGCCGGTCACTCACCATCCCCACCACGGGGCTCACGAAGAAGGTCAAGGCTGGAACGCAAGGTCAATGCACTTTAGACCACATATACAAAATAACATACCGGTCGCAAAATATTGCTTGCTCGTATTCTTCTCACTCAGCACGTAAATTACAAGTCAACACGCATAAAAGGTCGAATACATATTGATTATTTATTTTTCAGAATTCATTTTCTTCCAGTTTCGATTACGGAAGGACATTTTCTGATCAGATTAGGTACTGAAGAGTATGAGTGAATGTTGGTTAACGCCGCGCTTAGCAATATTCCATACGGCGGCCTGTAGTTGGTCGTGTTTGGATCTGACTAACCAGTGACCGAAACATGAGTTACGCCATCGGAACACGATGACATGCAGTCAACCGAGTCACTGAGCCTCTATCCCCTATTAGTCGTCTCTAAAGAGGAGATGGTGGGACATATTCCTCCTTCGGAATAGGTACTAAAAAACACCAGCTACAAATGGGGCTATCGAAAAACTCATATGGTTGAAAATAATAAACAGCTAAAATCAGCAATATATAAGAATTGGTACTTGAGTAATATATATATATATATATATATATATATATATATATATATATTACATCAAGTGACGTTCACAAAAAAGTCTAACTAAGCACCAAATGTGGTCATTTTAAAAAAAAATTCATGCTCTTTTTCCTTTAAAAAGATACACTTTCAGAACAGATAATCAACTTGTCGTGGCCTTACCTGCTCCTCCGGCAACCATTCCTCCGAACGTGCTGCCCTTAGCGCCATCGCCCACCAGCGCCTCAACCTGAGCAGGTATCACTGAAAATAACCAGACGTTGCCGTGGACTGCTCTATACTTGTATGATAATGGGAACTAGTTTTCGTTTTTGATCATACACATCATATCAAATTATATCCCATCATGTATAGAATCCCATTACCATCTTATTAATGCTCACACTTCTTCTATTTTGATAAGAATGACGATCAGATTAACATTTCTTCATGCTACGTCAGAAATAGTTTTGAATATCAAACAAAGGCATTGCTGTTTTAATGTCACACATTGTGATAATGTATTTTGGATTTTCTACAAAATGAAACCGTTCCCCTAGTAGGCGTGAAAGTGAGTGAGTTGTTTTACGCCGCTTGTGACAAATCACAACCATATAAGGGCTGGAGACACCAGGGTACTTATGTGGGAGTTGAACTTGTCTTGTCTTCCGCCAGAGGAGCCAAGTCACAATACACGGCGGGGTGACTAGGCTACCCAACCCCTCACCATTCATTGGACAACCGTGTTAAAGTAGAAGGTCATCATGTACCTTAGATGATATCATTATAGCATTTATTTTATTTACGAATTACAACATTAAGACGATACCTTCAACGCTCAGAAGTAGCACCATAAAGTTGATGCCGAACGAGGTCATGTTGAGTAAGATGCATTGTGGCTTGTTGAGCATCGGCGGAGGCTCCTCGGTCACCTCCAGCTCATCATAGGGGGCGCTGTGGGGAGCAGACGACAGTGTCATGCATGGTTCGTGGAGTAGACACAGCAGACGACAATATTACACACGGTTTATGATACAGGTACAGCAGACGGGAGAGAGAGCAGACAACAGTATCACACACACACACACATACATTAGTGAGAGCAGACAACAGTATCACATACACACACACATGGTTCATGGTACAGACACAGCAGACGACAGTATCACACACGTACATGGTTTATGGTACACACACACACACACACACACACACATAAGAGAGAGAGAGCAGACAACAGTATCACACACACACACATACACATATGGTTCATGGTACAGACACAGCAGACGACAGTATCACACACTTACATGGTTTATGGTACACACAAACACACACACACACACACATTAGAGAGAGAGCAGACAACAGTATCACACACACACACACACACACACACACATGGTTCATGGTACAGACACAGCAGACAACAGTATCACATACACACACACATGGTTCATGGTACAGACAAAGCAGACAACAGTATCACACACTTACATGGTTTATGGTACACACAAACACACACACACACAAACACACACACACACACACACACACACATTAGAGAGAGAGCAGACAACAGTATCACACACACATGGTTCATGGTACACACACACACATTAGAGAGAGCAGACAACAGTATCACACACACACACACATACACACATATGGTTTATGATACAGACACAGCAGACGACCGTATCACACGCACACACGCACGCACGCGCACACACACACACATGGTTCATGGTACAGACAGCAGACGACGGTTTGTGGTACTGACACAGCTGGCACATAGAGCTCTGCACGAGACGAAATGAAACCACACATGACATTCAGACACATGGGACACAGCCCGCGTTAAACACCGCATGAGGTCATCCACAAATGAAGGTAAGCCGCGGTTTTGGAACACAGCCGTCATCTACAGATCTTGGTATTGGGCGAGTAAATCCTCACAGCGGACACAGCGAACATAGCGTTATCCTTTGCTCTTCTATAGCGAATATATCCGCACGAACGGCAAAAACAAACGATTCAATCAGTTAGGGACACAGCAGGGTGCTTCTGTACTCCCCTGAGCGAAGTATTACGTCAAAAGATCAGAGACACGTTCACATGGTGGTATCACCTTTGCCTAGGCTGGTCCTAGGGAGGCCTGGTCGCAAGGAACCATGTGGGGAATCTAGGGCTGCATGTGCAATAAGCTTGCTCATGTTTCATGAGGAAGACCAGAGACCATATACCGATAGATATATAACATGATGAGGGAAACAGTTGCCGTGAACAAATACATTGTTTATTTCATTTATTGGACAAGGTGATTTTATGTACTGGACAAGATCTAGCTGAATACAAACAAGCGTATTGCTAACATCAAGAAGCCTGATGCCTTTCCATTTGGTCTAACATATTAATCTGTTCGCAGAAGTAATCCAGGTAATCCTAAGTTTGAAATATACTGGGGCTTCAAAGTTGTATAAACTGCCAAGCAAACGAAAACATACACTTGAAAATTAAATTTGACTAAAACATTACAAACGTTATCTAAACGTTACGTGGGTGAAAACAGTCGCCGAAACACAGAAAACTTAAGGTCCAAAACACTGCGATACCCGTATCAAATACATGTTTGTTGTACTTAGCCGCCATCAAACATATACATAGGTGTATACTTTCTTATGACCGTCAGTATATCTAACTTTAACGAGCATAAATGTGTGTCATCAGGGCGGGATGACACACTGTTCAAGTTTATATGGGAGATCTACTTGAAGTAGATCTCATGTGCACCCTCCAAGCCTACTTACAATCGACAAGCGTATTATGTTAGGAAATTACAAACGGGGGATAAATACTCATATATCTTCACAGCAGCAATTGATGGGTTGTCCATTGTTTCATTTCCCTGTAAATATGGATAATATATTTTTCAGTTACATAACGTTTTGTAGAAATACGACCGCCTCCGTGGTCTAGTGGTAGAGCGTCCGCTCGGAGAGCGGAAAGTCCGGGGCTCGATCCCCGGCCGGGTCATACCAAATATCGTTAAAGATTGTACTTGTTTTTATCCTGTCTAGCGCTCGGCATTAAGGGACTAAAACAAGGACTGGTCGGCTCAGAGTCAGTATACTGTGTCTGAGTGGGGTATTCATAGTATCTCAGTGTGCTAGCACTACAAAATCGGCATCAGTCCGGACTATGGTCAAGCAGACACACACATACACACGTGCATGCACGTCTCTATATAAGGGGAAATAATCTTGGACGCGACGTTACCGTTTCACCTCATCTTGTAGAAATACGATGTTATGACATGGGCACCGAAACCGCGTACAATAAGCAGAGTGACCCAGTCTGTACACTATTCATAAGTATTCATACAAATGAATAGATAATATTCACTATCACTTGACAAGGAAGTAGACTTTAAACCACAACAGGAAAGAGATAAGCACGTTTTTCGTCCCTCGCCAATAAACGTGTCACTCCGTTTGATGGTGTTGCGTGAATACTGCAGTGCTAACTTCGTCTGTATGAAACAGGCCAATCACAGGGACAACATGTGAAGGAGGTATTTCCTCGTGTAAGAATAGAACATAGACACTTGACCCTGTTACTGAATCAACTGCAGGTCGGAAATAGGAGCTTACGCCGTCAATGTATAATACTCAGCTGTAACCCAAATACAGCATTACTGACCCAGAGTAGTAGACTAAGTCTCTGACAATATTATTATTTGATAGAAAAGCGACTACATTTATATAGAAACAAGCTGCTATATTTACATAGAAACAAGCAACTGCATTTACAGTGAAAAGGAGCCCCAGTGAGATGGGTGACTCAGAAACTTAAACTGTGGGAACATCTAACTTGCTTCATTGAGAGCTATGGCATTACAGTGAGGGCTCGACGGATGGGGGAGTAATATGGTTCAGAGACAGTGAGGCACCCTAGTTTATGAAATATCTTCATGCTTCAATATTAAGCTGATATTCATATCTAACATGCCATGTCATGTCTAAAGAAGAATGTGACACACCCTTCGGCGACGTTCGATGTGGATTAATGACAGTGTAGTTATTTGTGTTATAACTATGCTACGTATGTTTAATGAAATGTTAGGTGTATATTTTTTATAAACAGGTTTGCATATTGCAGGTATCTAATAAAGTATCCTGTGGGTTATGTGATCAAGTCAGTCATAGATGCAGAGTTCGGAGTGTCTCGTCTGATATCAAGTAAAACATACAAGTCTCGTTTATCAGCTGAAACAGATTGGGCGTAAAAGTCAAAATAGCGGTGAAAATTATACTTTAAGAATGGATCACTGAATATCAGTGATGACACCAGGTGTTCGCAAAAAGGGGTAAATCATGCATGGCCTATAGAGACTGATTAATGCATGCACGTCTTATAGGGACTGATTAATGCATGCACGTCCTATAGAGACTGATTAATACATGCACGTCCTATAGTGACTGATTAATGCATGCACGTCCTATAGAGACTGATTAATACATGCACGTCCTATAGAGACTGATTAATGCATGCACGTCCTATAGAGACTGGTTAATGCATGCACGTCCTATAGAGACTGATTTATACATGCATTATGATGTACACGTTCAAGAGTATTCGAAAATGATCCCCTCAAAGAACACATTTAATACATGCACATGCTTACAAAGTTCTATCTAGTACTATGAATAGTTCAGTCATAAGAAATGTTTCCCATTGAGAAAGCTGACAACTATTAAATGGTTCACTACAAATTTTCATCGTTTTTCCCAACTCAACATGCATGCTTGTCAACCTCGCCTACACGTCTAACTAGAGTCAAGCAGTTTCCTGGTAAGTAAGAAAATGAACACTCACTCATTGTATTCCTCCTCTAGTCTCCTCATGGTGTTATAATCCTTGATCAGCGGGAGAACTTAACCCTCTAAACCGTCCTTGGTACAGTACTCCCTGACAACCGTCCCCGACTAACTCACTACCAGCTGCTAATGCACTCACTCTTGCTCTTCCGTGTAAAGCCGTTTCATGGTGTCGCTGACAGGCCCACAGGCCTACTTCCTCGGTAGGGGGCCCTCGTGCGGTGACCTCTGAAATAAAACATACATTGATAGATACATAACAGCTGATGGCATTTCATGAAAATGATATCCAAAACTGGAAGGTCATTGGTACTAAACCAGTTTATTATTGTGCGAAGATAAACAAACATATCTACCCTAAGAACAAACAATATAAATAATTATGTATATAGTATGAGAAACGACGCTTATAATAAGATCGCAAACAGCTGTGACGATTTTTTGCTCATCGTTAGACTTTTAAAAAAAGGTCACAACTGGCGTTTATAGATAGGTTATAGATATACTTGGCATGATGTCCCACATTGTGGGTAACCCCAGTTTCGTATTACAATCTGAAAGCTAAAACTATATATTGTGAGGGAGTGAGGGAGTGAGGTGTGGGTGTGGGTGTGGGTGTGGGTGTGGGTGTGGGTGGTTCTTGTAGCAATAATTCCAACACTCTCACGACACAAGAAATGGGCATCACACATTATATCCATGTAGCCCTTGTGACGAGCGAACGCTTGCACCACCTGCCTACCCCACCACTCCCTGCATGTATCATGTTATATGTCGAGATAAACGTGATGCATAGTGTGACACTTCGGAGTTAACTCGGAGTTCGAGACAAGCGATATGCTGACACGTGGACATGTTTTGAGTGTACTGTCTAACATAATGTTTTATCTTCTACTGGTCACTAACAAAAACAACGACTTTTCCGACATGGCGACGTATCCGGCGTCGATTTAAGAGGGTCCCATAGCAATTATTAAAGAACATTTCTTTCTTTATTTGTTGTTTAACGCTGCACCCAGCAATATTCCAGCTATATGACGGCGGTCTGTAAATAATCGCGTATGGACCAGACAATCCAGTGATTGACATCATGAACATCGATCGACGTAATTAGGATCGATGACATGCATCAAAGAAGTCTGCGAGCCTGATGACCTGCCGATCCCGTTATTCGCCTCTTATGACAAGCATAGTCTCCTTTTACGGCAGGTATGGGTTGCTGTAGGCCTATTCTAAACCGGATCTTCACGGGTCTATCAAGGAACCAAAGAAGCGACTACCAGATGTAGTAAGGTAAGCGGGTTCTTTGGATATATTCGCAAGAACACTTTTTCAAATACGCTTTGTAAATGCACGTACTAATATGACAAATATATACCAATGTGATAATATTTACATGCATTACATTCAATATCTTTACAGAATAGTTATGTTAACATCTATGTTGTATATTCATGTTTTGTCTTTATTTTTTATTTTTTTGATACATGTTGATTTTGAAAACAAATTGTTAAAGTCCCACAGACATACTTACACGAATGTAGTTTAAATTGTAACCGGTATTTTAATGTCAAATTCCTTTTTCTGTTTAACGAAAACAGTTTTTTAATCAAGAACATATATCGTTACGATACGGGTGTGATTGTAATCAATACAATATTGGAAATCTAATTAAAACATATTGTTTTTCGGTGAGAAATATATCAATAGTGGGATATACAATAGGCCTGCGGGGAGTTGTTACTCCTCTCGTCCGTTACTTGATCACTTCTCTCTAACCTTCTCTCTCTTGTGACGCGGTTTGACATTTTGAAAACAAAACAATTAAACTGATTTCAAAGGTCACCTCTACAAAACAGCCCCTACCAGTGACTAGGGCATCAGTTCAGGGTCGTGATGGTGGAGAATTCGTTTAAAGTTAGACCGCACTAAGTCATTAAGATTTCCCAGAATCGTTGAAGCATTTCTTTCATATATTATATAAGGATACATGCTACAGATACGCCCCTTACTAATGAAAGCTGACAATTACACGTGATACACTTGGTGATACAACAAATCTCGGGCTTCCCTTTTGTGAACTTCGACACCGGGCATCAAAAATAGGGGATGATTTGTTTCCTGGGATGTGAAACACAAGCATATATATTCATTGGTTTTGTTTAACTTTCGATAGATTAATCGTTTGAAGAATCCATTTAGCAATAATTCATTTTAATGCCCACATATTTCTGTAATATAATAATCTTAGAAGAGATGTATCAGCGCGTTTATATGTTCGTGGTTTGTTCTGCGCTTGCAAAGCCTCCGTCGCAAAATACTGAAAAGGGAAGTAACTTTGTTGTGCAAACCACTAACAAAAATTTCAGTGGTGTGCAGGGCAGCAAATGGACCCGTAATGTTGTAATGTATTACAACTAACAAAATCCATCGTCAATAAATGAAACTTGTCACATTCGCTGTGACCTCCGTGACCATAAACAAAACACGATCATCTATTTTCCAGCTGAAATGATCCTGAAATCTACATCGCACAGAATATGGTCGCGGCATGTGTCGGCGGTTGACGAGGGGTTTAAATACAAATGGTGTGGACTAACTTTGATTTGAATAGCATTTGCAAGATTAACCCGAGAAGACACGAATACAAGATAAACACTTCCATTGCCGTGAGACATGACTTGTCTACTTTACAGTCTATGCATGCGTAATAGGCCCGGGGCTGGTGCACATAGAAGCTGCGGGCGAATATAGATATCAATACACCTATACAGTGGCCGCCATGACTATTACCACCCCCAAGGCACTTCAAGGAAATCAGCCCCATTAAAAAGCAATTAGGTGAGGGTGGGTTTGAATGGGGTTGAGATATGAAGCCGTGATTTGTGACTGAAGCGGTAATAAAGCGGTTAGCTTTGATGTGGATCGAGTAAACAAATTATAATTATTATAAAACATTTTATTTTATGTTGACATATATGGTGAAATCACCAGGCATAGAGTTCTGATTTTCAATCTCGTCGAATCTGGGATTAGGGTATATAACGCGGTTTGTTTTAAGCTGGGAGTCTTTGAGAGTTTTATAGCACAGTAGGGACTTTTGAGTGTAAAGTTATTTGATTGGATTTCACACATTAATCATTTTGGCATGTAGCAGTCGAACAAACAGATCGAACCTCATTCGACTGTTAATAAAATAGCTATGACGTTATGTTAAATGTCCGTTACATGTCAAAACTAGGCTGCTCGTGAACATTTCACCATCAGCTGTTATTCAGCAGGTTGACAAAAGCCTATATGGATCTGTCGCCGAGGGGAAATCTATACCCCTAGCAACACGTGTGAAATGACAATTAGGTGACGTATGCGTGACGTCATTTCTGTCAAAATCCAATAAACGAGATCCGAGTGTATGTATATACACTGTAGGCTGTGAAACCTACATTCATTTAAAACCATATATAGACTTTTATAATTGACAGACGGGTGACACGGGAAGTCTATTTCAGTAGTTTCTGGAAGCAATTCGTTAATGTATATCGACATCCTATCATCATTTTTCAGCAAACACTGACCGAACTGACACGTTTATTTATTTGATTATTTGAACGATTTCCAAGTTGTCCCCAGTAGAAATATAAAGTTAAATAACCAAATTTGTTTTTTTTAATATATTTGTTCAATTTTGTAGGGCTATGTAATATAATGGTGATTGTTATAAATAATTCCTTTCATGTTTAGGGGGCGTGTTTTCTAGACATCGAAATTCGAAATTCGTGTACAGTCATATGCATTTTAATTAAAAATACTTAGATTATCAGGATAATATACAATGATATGCACTTTGCCGTAAAGATGTTCTGATCTGTGATGTATATAAAATTCCTTAAATTATTATTATCATCATCATCATCATCATCATTATACAAATTAAAATAAAAAATACAGCAAAGAGGGTTTGGGTGATCCTGGCACAGTCAGGCTGGTTAGGCTCATTATCAGCTCGGGGCCCTTGCTCCCTCTACACGCAGCCGAAACGGCGAATGGGACTTCTTCCAGGAAGAGCTGCCTAGTCAAACCCACCCAGAATTGTTCGGAGATTGTGAATACTTCCCAACACTGCAGTGTAATGAACTTCAGCATTACACAGACTGTCGGAAGGGCTGTATTCCTGGCAGCAAACCTTGGTACTGTCAGTCAACAGACTGGGAAGTACCAAACCTAAGGCACCGAGAACAATGGGGAGTCGGACAACTTGGTACTTGGGATGCAAGAGTGACATTTCGAAAGCGAGGTCCGCATATTTGCCATGTTTTTCCTGAATCTTGTCAATCACATTAGTGTCAAAAGGGACTACAAATTCAATGATATAAATGATTTTATCGGATTTATCAAAAAGGACAAGGTCAGGTGTGTTGGCCTGGATAGGTCTGAGGCTATAAACGGGCATTTCCCATGACGCCCTCTACATATCCTCTGGGTCGTACCATGGATGGACCTCTGTGTCAAAACCACAAGCATGGCGAAGACGGTAATTCAGTGATCAAGCCACTCCATCATGTCGCTTAAAATACTGTGTCTGTACCCCAACTAGGCATCCAGCGTTTCAAGTGCCTTTGACTTAAGAATCTTAATTGAAAATATGGACTCATATCTTCACTCTGCTTGTCTCGAACAATGGATAACCCGTTAATTCCTACGTACTGGTATGTCCAGGTCCCCTGTACGTGTGTTTCGGTGGGCCGATTCCAAATACATAAAACATTGAAATCCCCAAGGAGGTGTCCTTATTTCTCACAAAAATAGATTTTTATAATTTCATTGAACTTGCAAATGCCCGATGGGTTTGTTCTTTTTTCACTCCTCAACGCCGCATGTCAGAGGTAGATTACACCAGAAATGACGGCATAAACTAACACCACAATGCATCAAGATTCACATTTCAGATAAAATGTAGAATAATACTACATTAATGGATTGATTTTAAACAATCAACCTCATCCTAATAGCTCCGCAAAATAAAACAAATATTTTGAAGCAAATTTATTTCCATTTTCAATCCTTAATGCCAACCGCAATGGTGAGATTGCCCTAAGCTTTAAGGAACATTGTGATGCTATTCATCTAACACCAGCGTTGCGATCCTCCGCTTCACCCAACGTGCTAAGTGAATTGATAATAGGGGTCGTATTGTATTCCAGGCACGGCACTGACACTTGACTCGTCTT